GCCAAAGCAAACAGAACCGTTTGCTGGGTCAGAAGTCGTGGCATTCAAAGTGTCTGTTTTATTAAATAACAGCAAACACACTGGGCAGAAGGCTGGGGAGGTGGAGCAGATCCCACAGCCCCTGTGAGCACACAGGACCCTGCAGAGACAAGCAGGACAGAAAGCTCCAACTCCAAATTAGCAACCTTTGAAGATGTCTTTAACCTATTGAGCATTCAGAAAAGTAATTTCTGTCTTGCTTGACACAGCAGCAGGGATTGTCCCTGTGTTCTGGGAATGCCAAAGTTGAACATTTCTTATCTGTCAGGCAATGTGTGCCTGGCTCTGTGTGGACCTGCAAATGTTTTGCAATGTCCATTGGTTGGGAAATAGGTTCCTCTCACTGGATGACCTTCAGGAGAACATGGACCTACCTCAGAGTCTTCTCCATCATCTTCCTCCTCGTCCCTTTGTCTCCTCAGGCTGCAAGAACATGAAGCACGGGCAGATGCTGAAGGACCTGATGCAGACACCAAACTTCCGTGTGTCGGTGGTGCAGGAAGCTGACACCGTGGAGATCTGTGGGGCTCTCAAGGTGGGTGTGCAGAGCTTGGTGAGCAGGGCCTGGGGCTCTGCAGGGAGCTCAGGGGAGAAGGGATGATGAGCACTGGCACGGACAGCAGCCAGTACTTGGGATCACACCAGCTGCTCCTGGATGCAGCCAAGCCCCAAGATCCCTCCACGTTGCCATTGTTTTCCAGAATGTGGTGGCTGTAGGAGCTGGTTTCTGTGATGGGCTTGGCTACGGTGACAACACAAAGGCTGCCGTGATCCGCCTGGGCCTGATGGAGATGATTGGCTTTGCCAAAATCTTCTGTAAGGGCCCTGTCAGCTCCACCACCTTCCTGGAGAGCTGTGGCATTGCTGACCTCATCACCACCTGCTATGGGGGCCGCAACCGCAAGGTCGCCGAGGCTTTTGCCAAGACTGGGAAGGTGAGCAGAGCTGGAAGCGGCTGACACTGATACCTGTGTGGATGAAGTTGTGTCATAGGAGGTTTAGGCTGGAAAATGTTCTTCAACCAGAGGGTGGTCAGGCACTGAACAGGTTCTCCAAGGCTGCCAGAACTCAAGGGGCTTTTGGACAACACTCTCAGGCACAGGGTGGGATTGTTGGGGTATCTGTGTGGGGCCAGGAGTATGACTGCATGATCCTTGTGGGTCCCTTCCAGCTGAGGATATTCCATGATTCTGTGATCCCTGCATCAGCCTGGTGAGCACTGGGAGGTGATCCCAGTTAGTGCTGTGGGATCTGCCTGTGCTTGGCTAGTGTTGCAGCCCAGCTCTGGGGCAGGAACGTGGTGCAGCAGTGGGGCTGCAGGTCCATCTCCTCACTGCTGGGTTGTTTCAGTCCATCGAGCAGCTGGAGAAGGAGATGCTGAATGGGCAGAAGCTGCAGGGTCCCCAGACATCTGCTGAGCTGCATCGAATCCTCAAGAACAAGAATGTAGTGGAGAAGTGAGTGCTGGAATTTCTGTGCTTCGTTGGGGTGGGGCTGGGACCTTTCCAGGAGCAGCAGGAGGGGAAAGCCCCCTTGGTGTCTGCACTGCCCATGTCACACCAGCTGGGCAGGAGTGGCCTGTTGGACACAGCACAGTGCCATTGGCCACCTGCTCCTGCGTGCCATGACAGAGGTTGAGGTGCTCTGACTCTGCCATCTGTGGTGACTTTCTTTGCCTGCCCACAGGTTCCCCCTCTTCACGGCTGTCTATCAGATCTGCTACGAGGGAAAATCCGTCACTGACTTCATCACGTGTCTGCAGAACCACCCTGAGCACATGTAAGGGTCTCTGCAGACCACGGGCCCTGCCGAGGTGTGCTGAGAGCTCCTGCCCACACCAACCTCATCTGCTGCCACAGCCTTGGAAGGAGTCCAGGTCTCCTGGGAGCCTTTGCAGACTGCTCTAAGAGCAGAAGTTCCCTTCCCCAGCCCTGGACACTGCCCTGGACACTGAGCCTGGCACAGAGGTACCTGCTGACCTCTTTCTGTCTTTGAAGGGCTCGTTTAATTGCTGCTGTTGTCTAAGGTCTGCCCTGAGCAGGGCTGAGCATCTTCCTCCTTCCACTTTCTCACAGTGGATTCAGCTCTGAGAAGGACTCTGCCAGGCCATCATGATAGATAAGGGCTGGGCACTGCCTGGAAGGGAAAACAGTGTCCCAGTTCCTCCCTCTTAGCCCCATGGGTGGGTGACATCAGCTCTTCCCTACCTGCTGCTGCTTTTGCATTCCCTGTCTGGTGGAGAGGGCACAGTCCCCTGCCAGTCTCCACCTGGTGAGTGGAGCTCTCAGGACTTCCAGAGGTGCTGAGGATCTTTCTGAGCAGCACCAGCACAGACAATGGCATTCTTTGCCACCCGGCCATGTGCTGCTTTCCCCCAGCTGCTCCTGGGACACGCTGGAGCTTGTTAATTTAGAGCTTTTGCTCTCTCTATCAGCCCTGGGAGCTCCCTGTTGTCACAGGTTTGCCTGTGCTAATTCCATGCCCGCTGACTTCTCTCCCTGTCTGTTTGTCCTCTGGGGCTTGGCACTGCAGGGACCAACTGCCTTTGAGTCTGTGTGAGCAGCTGGTGTGACCCTGCCTCGTACCTGCACAGCAGGCAGGTGGGTCACCACAAGGCACCCGAGTCGTGTTGCTGTTCAGTAAATGCTCCACAGCCACACTTTGCCTTCCTCTTGCTTGCTTTAGACCACTCTGTGCTTCCCTGTGTGGCTGTCCAGGAGCTGAACGAGGTCTCACACTTTCCCTCATGTGGGGATGCTGCAAGCTTGCCCACTGGCACAGGGGCAGGAATAAGCGTATGATCCACAACAGGTACACGGAGATGTCCAACAATCCTAGGACAGGACAGAGGTCTTGGGCCTCACACTGAACCTTTGAAATTTGCCCCTTGTCCAGCCGGGTGCCACATGTCCCTCTGCTCCTCTGAAGCTGGTGGTGTTTGCTCAGGCCAGCATGCCCAGCGGTCACTGACCCTACCTGGGCTGGAAGGTTGGAATGCGGTAGGGCTCCCTGTTCTCCCCCATTCAAGTCCCAGAGACAAGGGGTCTCTGATTAACAGTGTACCTTTAAAATAACAATAAACATGGAGAGGAGATAGGAGATGCTCTCCTTGTTCTGCGGCTCCAGTCCGTCGCTGTCGCTGGGTTGGTGCCTGCTGGACTTGCTGAGTGCTCAGAACAGGGCACTGCCGGTTCCCTCCTGGCTCTGCACCCTCCTGTGCTGTCCCAGAAACAGCAAGAATGTCCCTGTACGTCCCTGTTTAGCCACAATGTCACACAGTGTCCCACTTGCTTTGTCTCAGCAACTGTTCCAGGATTAAAATTTGGCCGTAGGACTATGGCAGGTTGGGATTGCAACAATGAGCCGGGTCCCCCTCACCTGGGGCCTGCAGGAGCCAGGCCAGGACCCCACTGTGCCCCACACGCCCCAGGCCTCCCCTCCTCTGATGTTTGGGCTTTCCAGGACACACTGTGGGATTTTATTCATCTCTTCCCAGCTGCTTTTCCCAGATTTGCCTTGTGCCTGTGTGTCTTTAAAGGAGCCCCGTACTGAGTGACCTTTCCAGGGCTCTGAACCCTCTGCTCGGTGTCTTACAAGGGGAATTTAATCTGCTGGCACTGCACTTGTTTCTGTGCCTTTTATTAGCCACGTTTTCTCAGCAGGCACTCTGTGACCTTTAAATTCAGCAGAACTGTCGTGTGGGGGGAGCCGACACAGCTTCCTCTGCTGAGGAGCTTTATTGAGCTTGGAGGGAGGATAAAGGAAGTCCAGCGTGTTCCTGCAGGGCTGGCACGACTTGTAGTTCTCTTTGTCTTCAAGGGCTTCAGGAATCCAAGTGTTTGGATATGAGGCTCATGCAGAAGGTCTCTGAGCTCTGCTCTTGCACAAACTCCTGTCAGCACCTGCCTGGAGCTGCAGCAGAATCCAGCAGGGATTTGTGTTTAGCTGGGAGCTCCTCTGCGATGGAAATGCTTTGTGCATCCCCCTTGTCCATGTTTCTTTGACCCTGGAAATGCCTGAGTCCCTTGCTGAGGGTCCCAGGTCTCACGTGGGAAGACCAGCACACCAATCTCTTGCTTTTAAACACACCACACTGGAGCTGGATTTCCTGAGCTATAAAAAGTCTTCCCTTCGCCATTTGGAATTATGTTCTGCAGGCTCAGCACATCCCAGTGCCGCAGCCCTGGGAGCTCCTGCTGGAGATTCTGGCAGCTCTGGAGCTCGAGGGGGCCCTGGACGGAGCAGGGCTGGGACAGCAGAGTTCAAAGGCTGGAAAGGAGCTCCGGGAGGGGAGCAGCTGCCACAGGAGGGACAGGAGGGGATGTGGGGGAACACGGCCTGTTGAGAAGGAGGCTCTGGGCTGGGGGCACACTGGGACCCTGGGCACACACCAAGGCCCTTGGAATGGCACTGGAACCCTCGGGGAGGCACTGGGACCCTCAGGATGGCACCAGAACCCTTGTGAAGCCACCTTGACCATCGGGATGGCACCGCGCCGCCGCGCCTCAGGGCTGCAGCAGGGCCCGGAGTGCCTCTGCTTCATCCATGCGAGGTCAAAGACTATGCCTTGCGGGGTTCCCGGAGCCGCACCTCAGACAGGGAGAACCGCGGGTTGCGTCGTGCAGGGAGGCCCGTGCAGGCTGCGCCGCGGGGCCCGAGGCGGCGGCGACGGCGGCGGGAGCGGCCCCTGAGGGGGAGACTGAGGGGGGGGGGGCCGCCAGGGGGCGCTGAGGGCACCGCGCGCGCTTCCCGCGCCCGCCGGCGGCCACACGTGACCGCTGCCACACGTGACAGCGGCACACGTGACCGCCCAGCGCCACGTGACGCGGGCCGGCAGCGCGGCGGAGCGGGACGGGAGCGGTGAGTCCGGAGGGACGGGACGGGACGGGACGGGACGGGACGGGACGGGACGGGATGGGAGCGGTCAGTCCGGAGGAACGGGACG